TGTGTAATTTTCATAGATGCAGGGGCCTTTCCGAGTTGATATATAATGATAGGACCTGCTTCCGAAGGATATTTCGGCTAATCGAGATTTGAATTTCCCAGACATTTTAGACAAAAGGCAGTTTAAACTTTTAAGTGGAGCTAAATTGCGCAATATTAGGTTGCCATTTAGTTGTGGTAATCTTACGCTGCCTTCAAACTTTCTGAGTTTTGGAAAATGTTGCAACCAATTTGTGTCAAAATATGAATCCAAAACTGGGTCAGAGTAAAACCCTCAGCTTATCATAATAAATTCACCACATATATGTATATATAGTGCACAAGGAAACTTTAATCTGACTCTGAACAAGTTTTTCATTACAACGATTTATGGCAGAAAATAAAATCAACAACTATCCCGCAAAAGGGCCAAAGTTCAGAGCTCGAGATTCCTTAACAATTCAACGCACTGCAGCAGTAATTTCTCCGCTCCAGACATTCGTTCTCCGTAAGCTGCAAAGGCAAGCTCAAATATTTATAATGCTGTCCAACACTTGGTTGACCACAACTGCTGGCCTGGCCAAGAACATTGACCGCAGTCCAAAAAAAAAAAAATAAAAAAACAAAGACCCAGAAAACATGGCAATCGAAGGGGAGGGAAAAACAATAAATTGATTTTTGTATCTCCTCGGCGCACAAGTGCAGGATCCGGGTAAAACGAACGCATATATATATGTCCAGAGTGCTCGCCTGCTCGCACACGCCCCGATAATTATGAAATTTGAGGCAAAGAAAATCTAAAAAACCCAAAAATAAAAGAAACCAAATTTCTACAGAAAGCAAAAATCAATTTATGAAGCGAACACGCCCCGAAAACTTTGGAGCAACGACGTTTAACTGCAAAACGCCCTGTTTTCAAGGCGTGTCCGAGCAACAAACATTTGAAAGGATACAAGGCGAGGAGCCCGAAGGACAATGCCGGGCCGCAACATATGCGAAAGGGATAATAATTCACTGGCCGAAAGGCGATGGGAACAATGGTCACATAACTCAGGCGCGCCAGATGAACTAAGGACATACAGAGGGATTCAACGAGCTGACCGACCGCATTATGGACTCGGGATCGGCACTAATTCAAAGGACACGCGCACAGCGGGACATGTGCGATGTCCTTTTGCCAACGTTTGATGTGCGGCGGCGACTAGAAATTGACATTTAATGAGCAGAATCCTCGCTCCCACGCACCTCCGTTGGGAGTATTATTTGAACACTCAAAACAATTATTTATGGAAAGTGTGTTTCATCCAATTAAGTATACATTTCTTTCGAATTAAAATCAAATGAAAGTAAAAACCAATTATTTCTCAATCAAATAATAATAACAAAACAATAATAATATTTTAATAAAATTTTCGAATTTTTTTTTACCTAATACCTACATCAAATGTTTAAAAACTTTTTCCATTTACACCTTGCCTTTTTGTTTTTCTCTTACATAAATCCCGGCTAGCCAGGACCTCGTTTGTGCAACACCTTTTGTTATCGCCGAAAACACTTGTCCTGGGATCCAGGGCTCCTCGCTGCTCAGTCGGTTGGCAAATATTACATTGTTACCTGGACTGTCCCATGTTTGTTGTCTGGTGTCCGTCTGGTCGATGGGGATTTTCGATTAGCTCTCACACATATCAAAATCGGACGTTAATTGTTTTCAGGTTCGTGGCATGTCAACAGCTTCAAGCACGTCGCCGGGTTGACCGAGGTTTTCTACTCGATTTATCTGTCTAGCCGGCTAAATTTTATGGATTTGTTTTGTTTGCTTGCACTGAGATTGCAACAATTACTTATGAATCATGAACTATGTCAGCAAGACTTAGTCCTAACGACTGCTTTAAGGAGCGTTTTAAATTTTTGACGTGAACATTTTCTTGTGGCTTCAAACTGAAATAACATAATTTTTTGTGATGGTTTCAAATGGTTTCAACTAGGAAACTTTTTTAATATTATATCAAGTTCAATTTTTATTAAAATTTTAAATTATACAAATCTTTACATGTACAACCTTTTAAAATGTTGTGTTTTACAATTCTTTAATAAATTAATGCTTGATAAATTTGTATGTAGTTGTCTGTTGTCGGTTATTTAATGCTTACTAAACAATTTGCACTTGCCATTAAAATCACAGACTCCTCATTTCCCACACTTTAGGTTGGGAAGGAGTGCTCGCAAATCGCTTGACTTTTGCGCTTTTGTTTGCCCTTCCAATGAATTAAAATCCCTGGCACACACGCAAACATATCAGCGTAGAGCAAACAAGTGCTGAGGCAAGACAAGGGCCCTCCACTTTGACCACATTGCGGCCAAGCACTGGTCGCATTCTGGCCCAAGAGCACCAGCTGTTGTTCCTACCCCCCAACCCACCAAAAAGTCCGACCGAAAATCACCCAACCACCCACCACCTTGCAGCCACCACAAATTCCACCCGCGAAACAACCAACTGAATTCTAATAACTTTAAACAAAACAAACTTCCTGGCCACATGCCTCATGCCCATGCACTTTGGTATTACAGAAATTACAATGAGCGAGTTTAGAGAATTCGTTTCGAAATTTCACGCCACCGTCTGTGACGAAATTTTTTGTAAAGCAAAGGACAAGTGCAGCGGTGAGCAGGATGAGTCACCCCCTTTTTAGCGGAGGGCAACCCTCGGTGGCAAGTGGAAAAAGGTTGCAATACGAAACCCAAAAAAAGCATCGCAACCCCGTAGACTCACAGTTGCCACTTTTAATCAGCATGAAAGTTCCCGTTCCCATCCGGCTGTTCAGCTATTTAAGGGCCCCGGAGATTCCGATTCCCCCGAATTAAAACTCAGCCGAAAATGAAAATTTCTATACTGCGTTAGTTCGCTTTTTGTTGAAGGCGAAATAAATGAATGCATGAATTCCAAAGCAATTTTGATGTTGACATTGAGTAATGTTGGCTCCGTTCAGCCTGGCTGCTCTACTCCGGGATCTGGGATGGATTCAGGTTGCTTCGGTGGGTGGTTGTTTGGTTTGGCATTTTCATATCATTTTCGAATATTACATGCGGATTAGCATTTCCTCATCGGGATTGCAACAAAACGTGTGCCCATCTATTTGGGGGGATTTTTGTGGGGTGCTTTGGGCAGGGGAATGTGGATGGGGAAGTGGATGGGGGCCCTTTCAAAAAGGGGGTGGTTCATTGCACTGGGTGGGTGGTTTGGCCTTTGTTTGGGGGAGTGTGCTGTCGATTACCCTCGGAAGGTGTTTTTTAGTGTTCTTAAAGGTATTGTTCAAAAGAAATTAAAGTGTAGGTAAACAAGATGCTTCAGAAGAAGAAAAATTGATGCCGGTAAAGATAAAAATAACAATACGGAAGACGTTTTGTATTAATATATTTGCTTATTTCGAAATATGTGTGGGCCATTTATATATATTTTTTTTGAAACATTTTCCTTCTATGTGAACTCTAAAAATATTATGATAACAAAAAGGAAATCGTTAGGAAAAAATAATATTTATCAAAAAAACAGTTACACAATGTTTTAGTTTCAATCAAACCCATGAGAAGATTTCATTACTTCATTACTTTCACCCAGAATAGGTTTAACATTTTTAGTTTTCATAAGTGATAAAAAATTTTTAAGATGTTAAGCATAAAAGCATTAAATTCTCAACGAACACTCCGAATTCCACCGCACTGCATTCATAGTTTCCAAAACTCAAATAGCTTTCCTTGTTTTTCGACTTAAGAAACTTGCTATATTCTTAGATATACATACCTTCAAAAACTTTTGGCTTTTACCAACCCGACTTTCGGACAAGTTTAAGGAATTTCCCAAATCAACAGCCTTTCAGAAACCGAATGGACGCGAAGGGGTATTTTTGGGGGAGTGGGAAAACCGACGTCGAACTAACTTTTCAATTTTCTTTTCACGCTCGCATTTTACAAGCTGCTACATGATTAGGGTCAATGGTTGCAGGGTCCCTACGTCCCGCTCCGCTGGAAAATTCTAACAAGCTGCCAAATTTCACACTCAGTTTCTGATTCTGAAATAACTCGAACGAACGAGCACACCTAACGAAGTAAAAGTTTGGGTCGGGGGCGGCAAAAGGGGAGTCCGTATCTCTCAATCTTGTCATCACTGCGATTGTAATCATAATAACATTCACTGAAAATTTTATTATTAACTGACAGTTTATTAAAAACTCATTGGGTTGGCTGGCCTGCTCTGATTTGTTTGCCGGGATTACTGTTTGCTTTTGGTCTCGTCCCTTGTTTGTTATCGAGATCATGGACACATGTCGGGGATGGCTGATTACCGACGCTAGATAAATATTAAGCAACTAAAAGGAGGGCTTTCTCTTTGGAGATCCGGAGAAGGATTCGGGTGACGCCATCATAGGGCGCTTCCTTGACGTAATTGACTCTCTGCCAAAGGGCACAAAACTGCTCCCCCAAAATGGTAATGAAATTTTGGCTTCGAGTGCTATCAGCATATACATATAGACGGGGGAATCCCCCAGCCAGCCAACTCCACTCAAGTTGTTATTGTTGTTGTTTTGGCACGTGGCACGTGCAACGTGGCCAGGAAATGCTCTGAAATTGATTTTTATTTTTATTTTAGTTGAGAGTTTTTGTCTTTTTCGGGGTCTTTTTTTGCCCCGAGGTATATTTTTTAATTATTTCTGTCCTCTGTTCCAGCATGTGATTAGATTTTCGAGTAAAAGTTTATTCAGCTTTGTTGTCGCTCGATTATAATTAAAAATGATTAGCTCATAAATATTTCCTGCTGTCGAGGGAGAGATTTATGAGAAGGTAAATACAGAGACAACAGATACCCCGAAGGCAAAGGAAATATTCCACTTGAAAGTAAATTTCATGCCGTATTTAGGGGAGGCAGTCCGAAGGGGTGAACGTAAGATCTATAGAAAATATGTTTGGTTTGAACTAACATTTATATGAATTTGTACTCACCTTTATTATATTAGATTTTCTCCATTTTCACAAGTGCATAATATCAGCAATGTTTTCACAACTCGGATCTATTCCATTCATCTGTGTTACTGGAATTAAAAAAATGTTTTAAAAAAATATTTTTTTTGACATAAACTTTTTGTATATTCTTACATAGACACTTTGCAGCTTTCAATTCACAGCGGGTGATATTACTCCATTTGGAGCCTATTTCTTGACTGCAATTTCGATTTAACTCTTGTGCAATATTGTTGAACCTTCCCATTTCTGTTTCAGTTTTCTGACACTTTAGGAGCAGATCATTGCACTTGAAGAGATCCCCAAAATAGTTGCCTCTACTTCCATTAAAAGCACTAATAACTTTAAATTTTAAAAGTTAAAATGTTAAATATTGACATTCTATTTAAAATCGCTCACCCAGCATCGATACTATCATTAACATCTTGAGTTGAACTAAAGACGTAATTTTACTCTGCTCCGCTTATATAGAATAAAACATATACAAAACTCTTTTGTTTGAACTCGCCATTCTGTTAAAATAAACTCTTTACTGAATGTTTTAATACATATGTTTATTACAAAAGTTTTACTTGCTTTAGCTTTTGTTAATATCAGCTGTTAATAAAGACAATATACTTCAGTTTAAATAAGTTTTTCTTTGTTATATCTTAATTACAATTCCAAGATTTCGGCAATATTATTGCAGGACATATCATCACATCGACGTAAGATCACTGAAATATTAAATTAAATTTTAACAAATAAAACAATTGTCTGAAAGAGAACTCACGAAGACAGGTGGCTTTTTCCATTTCACATCGAGACACATTATTCCATCTGCCTCGACGCTCCCGACGGCAATGTCGATTAAATGAATCTATAGTCTCATCAAATCGCCCTATTCTAGGCGTAAATCGCTGACAATCGGTGTACACATTTTCGCAGTATTCTCGATTCGTTTGAGCTTTAATATAGGACAAGTGCAGGACACATAGGACTACAAAAAAAAATGTGGTTAAGTTAGGAATTAAAAAAAAAGGATTAACGAAAAGGAACTTCTACCTAATATCAGTGAAAGTTTCCACATTTTTAATCAATGTGAGCTGACTAAACTGAAGCGTGATTATCTGTGGAGTTGTATTTATATGGGCGAAATGTATCTAGATTCATTGACAGATTACAAAAAATATAGAGCGCACCTTTCCTTAAAATGGGTTATCTATATCAGACCAATTTTTATTCAGGTGGCCTTTTTTAAATCTGGTTTTCATCTTATTATGCAAAATTACAATACCCTTGAATGTTATCCTTGCTCTGATTTTAATAAAATAATGTCTTTGTTGAGCACAGTAGTTTTCAAGTGTTTTCTGTCTCTATAAAAACGGATACAAAACCCTCCAACCACCAGTTGATATACATCAGCTACACTAAAAATGAAGTACGTGTGCGTTTTTTCCTTAACTATTATCCTTTGCTGCCTGTCAGTTGGAGCGCAGCGTCTAAATTGCAGCAGGATTCGTGAAAATTGTCGTCCTTGTACGCGACGTTTAGTAGATCCCATTAACAATCTGGAGTTTATAAATAGAGATTGCAGGGAAAAAGTGAGGGAACGTTGGATTTGGCGAGACGTTAGACGTTGTGATATGCAAATTGTTGCGTGCGAAAGTAAGATCTTAATGAAAACCTAATTTTTAAAATGAAATTAAAATATCATTGAAGTTATATAATATTAAAATATTTCAATTGTGTGTTGCAGATCATGAGAGCAGATTGGATTGCGAGAATGTGGCTAGGATAACTGGAATGAGACGAATACGTTAAATTGATTCACCAAAGTCATTAAATATGGAATACAATTCTAAAAAAATTGTACATTTTACCATTTTCTATAACCCGACCAAGAGGTTAATCATTTTAGACCGTGAATAAAAATATATATTTTATACGAGCATAATTTTTAAATTACAACTCTAGTCTTTATCCTTAAAACGCAATATTATTTTATTTTTAGTAATACTTAAAACAGAAAAAAAATGTTGGCAGAGAAGTTTTTTTTTTTTTTGGTTGTTATTTATTAAAATAAATAAAAAACTTTATTAATTAATTGGCCAACAGAAAAAAAAACTGTGTGTTGCTCCTGTATTTCATTCAAGTGACCTTACGATTTTTATCGAAGACTCATACGCTGGGCAATATTCTTACAAGTCGGACTTTCGCAGTCGCACACAGTAGCTGAAAAGTGAAAACTATAAGTTCGAGTCCTACAGAATTTTCGTATATATACTCACATAAACATGCTACTCTGAGAAGATCGCATCGGCTAACATCGGACCAATTAGAATCCGATCGCCGACAAAACTCGTTGAAAAACTTAGAAGTATCGTCCTGTTTTCCCAACCTGTCTTCATTAGCAGCACACTTGTCGAAAATACGCATGCAGGTTTTATGAAGCCTTTCGCTTTCAAGAGAGCCTTGAACTTGAGCCATCAACAGATAACAAAAAGCTGAGGGCGAGGAATATTGCCTTATTACCAAAAACAAAGCGACATTTTAACTTACTTAGTGCCAAGTAACGTTTTAACATGGCTCCAGTTGTAGAAATGGATTTTTTGTGTAATCTGACTAAACCGGTAGGTATATCGTGGTATTTATACCCTTTAAATGAGTTTGTTAAACTGTCAGTCCCAATTGTCCGCAAACAGCTGTGATATGGCTTTATGAGCCTTCACCAGATGAACAGTGGTATTGTGCTCAGATTTATTTAGGGGAGAGGGGGGGAATTTCGTCAGCATTTTTTCAAAGCTATTTTTTGTCCATCTTGAGACACGTTATCATATTTCTATTTTTATTGTTGAATGCGGTTAGCACCAAGCTTTAAAATGTGACATTCCCCTATTTTTTTAATTAGCTTGGTCATTTATAAAAAAATAAAATGTAAAACCAATATACTGGGGCAATCTCACCACACAATGGGGTAAAATCACCACACAACTGGGGAAATTTCGTCACCTGAAAAATGTAGGGAGTTTAACGCCTGAAAATATGCTACACTGATCAAGCGTACCATTTTTGTTGACGTCCTATATTTGTTGCTGCTGCTGGTAGTCTGTTCGTTAGCCAGCTCGTCAAATATAAAAATATGTATTTAAAATAGGTGCGAATTTACCCTTAGCGTAGGGTGGCGAAATTTCCCCAGACCGTACTTTTTTAGAAATAATTATTTTTCTTGCGAAATTAGGCGCGAAGTTAAAAATCACTGACGCAGAAATGCACATTATAGCACTGTGTATTATATAAAAAATCGTGTATCTTATTCCTTTTGAATTGTGGCATACAGAAAAAATTTCGTCGAGAACTAAATGTAGCTTTTGAACCGTTAAAACACATTTAATATTATAGCTCAAATATCTTGGCCTTCTGTGCAAAACAAATGCATTGGTTGTGTCTGGCCGTCTTGAAGGACTAAAACAAAAAAATTATATATTTTTACGACTTATGGATTCCGAGATATTGCAGGTGACGAAATTGCCCCTGTGACGAAATTCCCCCACTCTCCCCTATTTGCCCAAAATTCTGAAAATATTAAATGAGTCTGAGATATTTGGGAATTCGCTTCCTTGTTGGCCAACTTATATAAATCCCGATCGTCGATTTCGTTTTATCAGAAGCACTGAAGATGCAGTTGGCTACAACTACTTGGGTTATTTTCCTTTTCGGTTACGTGGTCATTTATGGGCTATCACCTGATTGCCGGACAATAGAGAAGCACTGTTCACGATGCCTCTTAAAACTGAATGATAGCTATAAAAAGTTGGAGGTCGTAAACAATGGATGCAGGCAAAAGTTGATTGAAAATTATATCTGGGAGGATCAGAATCTCTGCGACATGCTCATTATTGCCTGTGAACGTAAGCAAAGAAGTCCTTTAAAATTATAGCACAATACATAATAACATTTATTTTTCAGAAGCTGGAAATAGGAAAAAGGATTGCTTAACAATCGCCGAAGTTACCCAAATGCGCAGGGTGAAGGAACTTTAAACAAAATAAGGAAATTAGTTTACTTAAATAATTTGTATTTTTTATTTGAATTAAATTGTCAAAATATTGATTCAATAGAAATGGAAAACTATATTCTCATATAAATAGATCACCAATATAAGATCAGAGGAACGAAGTGGGGGTGGGTGTTGTAAGACGCCAAAATAAAATAATTCAATTAGAAACAAGTATTTATTTAATGAAAGTTACCAAAATTATTAAAAGTTCGCATGTACTTAACAACGTTATGAAATAATTCTTAAAAGTCGCTCATCACAGACTCGTTTGGGGGCTTTGAACTTTAAACACTAGTAGAAATATACAAAAAATGGATTATAAAATAAAAATCCTGCCGATCTTGCGAAAAAATAATCCCACAACATATTGAAATACTTGATTGAGGTTCAAGAAACATATATTTTAAATTTGGCAGAGAACACATTTATTTATTTTCAAGAGCGATGATCAGAATGCCATTAATTAAGGCCGTAGGCTTTCGGCCACATTTTTGCAGGACCCATTATCACATCGAACCATTGTCACTGAGGAGTAAACCACTAAATAAATATATTCTTAATAAATCCATAAATATATCCTTACATATACAGGAAGCGCGGACTAGTTGACATCTGGTTAGCTTTTTCCAATTGCGATCGTGTCGGCCGCAATAGGCGTTAAAGAACCCAACGGTATCATCTTGAGTTCCCACGGTGGCCTCCTCGCGACGGCAATCGTCATATAGGCGGTCACAGAATCGGCGACCCGAGGAATCCTGAGCCAGGATCTGGGTCACCAAAATGCAGCAGAAAGCTAAATTAATGAGTTGGATTAAATAGAGCTATTGCCTTTGGAGCACTAACTCACCGAACACGACTAAAAGTTTAGACATTTCAGTAGCTTTTTAGATGGAACTTGATAACTGCTCTGACTAAATCGAAATATTCTGCATCCTATTTATACCCTAAGAATGAATCAACTGACCAGAAATCTCAAATTATTCGCCAACAGCTGGGAAAGGCCCTTCTTTCAATGCAATCCAGATACAATAGTTCACACTATCTGTATTGGGCACAGATCTGTTTCTTTATCTTTACCAAAACAGATGTTATCTCATCTGGGACGGATCACTTCCTTGTTTGTCGACTTATATAAGGCTGGACTTTGATTTAATTTTAGTCAGAAGGTAATCTGCTGTTGATTTACGTTTTCTTTAAAATGCAAATGACAAATATAATCTGTGTCCTCTTGATTCTCGGCTGTGTGGCTATAAATGGGCAAGCTCCTGACTGCCGAAAGCTAAAGGAAACCTGCAATCCTTGCATCCGAAGACTGAATAATCCCATTAACAACGTGGAGTTCATGAACGAAGGATGCCGCGAGAAAGTCCGTGGCAGATACATCTGGAGAAATCAAACAAGATGCGATCTTCAAGTGATCGCTTGTGGAGGTGAGCTTACACAGAAAAAACATAACAAAATCGAAAATTTCCTTTAAAAGCACTAAACACCAAAAAATGGAAACCTAAAAACCACTACAACCAAATTGACACATTTAAGACTTTCCAAGCTTAAAGTTAAATAAGTCAAATAATTTATTTTGCTAATTATATTGCTAATAGGATGGTCGATCTTAAAGAACAAATTGAAGTAAAAAGCATTGGAGATAAACAAATCGAATCGTAAATTTTCACTAGCTAACTCTAGACACCAAATTGTTAAAAATATTAATTTCTATCTGTTACATTTGCAGCTCACAAGAGGAAAATGGATTGCCTGGTTATAGCCGAGCTTGCCGGCATGCCCAGGCGTACTTAGAGGAATGCCCAACAGCAAAATGATTATCCGAACGAACGCAGCTAAAATATTAAAAGTGATTTTGTCCAAATAAATGCATATTTGCAAAGAGATTTGAGTTGGTTACTCTAGCTTGTCTGTCCGGCCAATAAAGCGATATGTTCTTGTCTTGGCCTCGTGGTCTTGGCCTTCAATTTCTCTGGGTCCTCAGCTCTGAGCCCTTCCAGGAATCAACAGTGCCCGTTCACGAGTGCATCTTCTGTAATGTACCTTGTCGCTCTTTTGTCCACCAAAATAAATAAGCCTAGAAGCAGACTTTAATTTTTTTTTGTCCCACTTGGGTTACCAAAGAGAATGAATCGCTGCCAAGCTCAGCTCAAAAAGGTTGCACTCAAGAGAAATTCGGGAATCAAAATTACATGAGAGTACCGTGGGTTGGCAGACAAAAATGGCGATCTTTTTCGAAATTTGGGGAAATTTTGGTTACATGAGGTTCTGACACGCGAGTATCGGTCTTTTCTAATTCTAACGCCAGCCAAGGCAGACGTGCATATCTCGAGCAAAGTCAAAAGGTTGATTCAAAGTGCCAGCCAGTCAAAGATTAGAAAAGTTATTAATAATCGTGGGTTATACCATATTGGGTAAGAAAATAAATCGGCTGTCGTCCCCAAAATTAGGCAATGCTGACCTTAGTCAATTTTATTTAGGTACCCAGGTGCAAAAGCACACCTTTATTCTCCCAGCCATTGGTTTTTCCATCAATACGCTCCGACATCCAGACGTTCCAAGCAAAGCTCAGCTTTCCCGAAAGAGATCGGCCCAAGCAGCGGCCAGAGAGGAGAGGGGCTTCAGTTTTTATTACCAGCGCAAACGCAACGGTCGCAGCTCCGACGCTGCTCCGCGCCGAGGCCGCGGAAAGTCGGAAAACGGCGGAAAACCGCCCGGGAAATACTGCTCATCGTCGTACGAAAAGTTCGGCAGAATCTACGTTTTTTTTTAGTGTGAAAATATAATAATTGCCTGAATAAGAACCACCAAAAAGAAAAAGTCACGCACACACACATGTAACCTGCAAGACCACGCTGCAATTATGTAATCGCTTTGTAACTGACCTACGTTAAAGTACAGTGGCCTCTCGTATGAGCATCTCCGGTTGCTGGTTTTCTATGTAATTTTACCTTTAAATGGTATTATTCTAAAAGTACGCCACTGTACTCTTCCCCCTTATGATTATTTCAAGTTCTTTTTTCTAAATTTTATAGTTAAATTATATTTTTTCTTAATACTTAAATTTACTTCCTTAAAATGCGCACACGCAAATATAAAGAAATAAAAGCCCATTTGTGAGTGTGTATGCGAGCGGTATAGCCACGCCAGAAAATCAGTGAAGAAAATTCTAATATAAACGTAAATTACTATTTGGTAAAAGAAAATGAAACCAATCAAGTAAAGTTATAGCTTTAGTCATGTTTAAGAAAGAAAAGAAGATCAATTTGGCGAGGTTCTTGTGTCGTGCGGTGAAACATATGTATTATTAACATTTCAGCGAATTTCAGTGACAACGTTCTACGAAGAAAGCGCTTTCCTCGCCGGATGTTCAATGAGTGAGTCACCCTACTTATTTTATATATTTTTATAAATTGCATAAAGAAAATCCCCGACCAGAATTTCCGACCAAATAACAAAAGCCGAGAGGTCAAAATTGAATTAAAATAATGAAAACTTAAAACGAAATTGAAATGAACGAAAATTAAAATAGAGAAGAAAACATGAAGTGAATGAAGTAGAATTTAAAAGAAAAGAACCGCACAGAAAAGAATGAAGTAAGAATTATAGAAATAAACCAGAATGATTTGTGCCGTAATACGAATTCGCCGCAAGTTTCGCGAATTCGCCGCTTAAGCATTGCCAAATGTAACGTCAATGGAATCCACTTAGGTTCCACAACCCTGACCACTGGTTGTATTTACTTTTCTCATACACACGGGTTAATTTCCTTCCTTTTTAATTACATATCTTAAATTTATTTTTGCCCCTTTATTTTGTTACTATTTAAATACTATATTGCCATTATGATTATATTATTATATTTTAGATAACTATTATATTTCTATATCTATAAATTTATATTCTGTTAATTCCTTGCGTAAAATAGCGATTGTGGGTGGGAATACGCCCTGTAGAATTATGTCAGCAGTACATTTAAATATTCTATGTTAATAAATGAATTTTATAATGAATTTTGAGTAGACCGCCAATTAGCTAAAGGGGACATGCCGATAACAGGAGATGTGGGGGTAACATAGAGGGTTAATACCCTCATTTAGGGATCACACCCTAGCTATGGGACGGTGTGATCATGGAAGGGTGGGCACTTGTGGTTGCAACAACATCTTGCCACATTCTTGAGATTTTTATTTTTTCCTTTGTAACCATTTTCATTTCCTAACTTCAATTCTAAGCAAATCTCCCAAAATATTCGTCAGTCCGAATTGCGTTAGCGTCGACTTATTCTTGCACGTGATCGATTTAATGATAATATATTTATGTGATTTCTTTTGTGGAGATAATGGGCTGTATATCAACGGACTCGACGACTAGCCGGAACCATCACGTGGTCCGCACGATATACGAATTGTCATCTGCTCTTCCTTTTGGAAAATATTAAGTTTTCTGGGATCTCCCTCTGTACGTTACATGCTACAGTAAATATAATATATATATTTATAAATCTGGCGCCCAAACGTGGAGCAAGAATTGCTATAGCAAGCAATTCAACCGGCACGCCACAATATAAAAATAGTTGTTGAAATGTTACAGTCATCAAACATTATTTCGCATTTTCAGATATACTAGTTGAAAAATTCTGAATTCGGAGAGGTCAATAATAGCTCTGGAAAATTTTTCATTTGAGTCAACTTATGATAAACCGAGCATTATTGAAATAAATCCTTTATCCGAGGGTAGGCAAGGAGTTCTGGATCACCGTTTCCATGCCAATCTCAGATCATTAAAGACTAGTTGGCGATTTTGTTTTAGGAGAATTGTTTTTTCTGTTTTATACATATGTCACTTGGCAAGTTGACATCATCCGCTCAAGTAACCGTGCGTTTTCAAGAAGCAGTGGATATTACTTGTTTTATAAGTATGATGTTAGTGGTATTTTAATCACACAAGTGTCTGTAGTCAGTGGACTGCAGTTTTGTCCGTCTGTTCTAGTTATTTCTCTGATTCCAAATAATAACTTAATTAAAACTGAGGAAAAGGTGAACAATATTATGATAGCAGAGGATAAGATGTTAGGTGTTTATAAACCTTCTTCGACCGTGTTAACCATTTTAAATATTTGCAGAATTTACCTCTAAACTTGGTGTTACAAAAGTTTGGAATCTCACATTTAAAATAAACAAAAAAAAAAAAAAAAAAAAAAAAAAGAGAAAAGGTTACCATTCAATATCCTGTTAATTAGGCAGGGTCCCCAAAAGCTTAAAATAAATATTTTTTTTTCTTTTTCATTATTATTGATAGTTATGTTGGCAGAAGCATAGTGAACGTGAGTCTTTGGAAAAGAGTAGGAGAGTATATTAAAATATATATTAAAATAAAGTTGTCCCAGTACCATTAGAAATGCCAGTATCGCGCAGTTGTGAAAATATATCCATTTTAGGAAATTCTGGGAACACAGAAAGTCCAGAGTGTTATCTTTGCTTACAAATAATCGAATTTTCGGCACAACTGTTGACAACTGGGTGTGGGCACACCTTTCACAGAGCGTGTTTCAGTAGCAGGATAGGCCATAGAAAAGTTTGTCCTGTATGCGCGACTTCCTTTCAGACTTCGACAGGTAGTTTGCTTAACGAATCAAGAGGAGAGTTAGCTAGCTCTGTGTTCAATCCTGAAATGCCAGTTAGTACGAGAGCAAATCCCAATTCAGACCTGGACTCGGCTGCCGCAGGTAGTTCGACGGTAGGTCCTTCGAGGTCAAGAATCCCGGCCCCAAATACAGCCGGCCCGGGAGATTTAGGAGCAGGTATTCAAACCCCAGTGGATAACAACAGATCTGAGGAGATGGATGTCAACGCAGGGCAGGAAAGTCAAAGTCCATCCCCATCTTTGCATCAGCTCCAACAAACAGTAGCGGATGCCATGGCAGCCGCATCGATAAGACAGACCGAGGTTCTATCCGATACCTCACTTAAACAGGCAGAGCTACTGTCCAAAGCCATAACATCAGGGTTTCGAGAGTTGCTGGCTTCCCTTCCATCTCATATAAGAACCGGAAGTCAGGAACCTCCGCCACCTTTAATTACGCAACCAGCATCATTCGTAGACTCAAACGCGATAGGTTCCATGTCACCAATTCCGATGGATATTAGGCCAGAGCGTGTTAGTCAGATTTTGGTGAATTGGAAATTAAGATATTCTGGTCGTGGACCTATGTCAGTAGATGAATTTATATATAGAATAGAGGCCCTAACTTATCAGACTTTAGGTGGCAACTTTGAGTTGTTGACACGTTACATAAGTAATCTTTTTGAAGGAAGTGCCAGCGATTGGTACTGGCGCTATCACAAGAGTGCTAGAAATATTGAGTGGCCTGCATTTAAAAGGGCTATGTTAATTCAGTTCAAAGATGAAAGAACCGATGTAAATATTCGCGCTGCTATAGATAGGAGAAAGCAAAAACAAAATGAATCATTTGATGAATTCTACGAAGCGATAGTGATGTTAGCAGATAAAATGACTATCCCATTGTCTGAGTCCTCATTACTAGAATCCCTGCGTGCTAATTTGTTACCGGAAATTCAGCACGAGTTGCTTTATGAGCGAGTGTTAAGTATTTCACAATTGCGCCATCTAGTTAGGACTAGGGAAGTATTCATGCAGACGGTAAATCCAAATCAAGCGCTTAAGCCTAGACCCACGCCTAGGAAATTTGTAAATGCAGTGGAAAATTCTGCAGAGCTTGAATCGGAAGAAATAGATGAAGAAATAGAGGCGATTAATCTGGTTTGCTGGAA